GGCTCCTTCGGCGCGGGGAGGCGCCTCTCGCCGCCAGGCCCGGCGTCCCGACCTGCGGTGGGCTGCCGGGATTGCCTGGGGAGGGCTCCGGTGTCTGTTAGCGCTTGTCTGGGCGCGTTGCGGAGGCCGCTGTGGGCCGGAATCCGTGTACCCCGCAGCACGATTTGGCGTTAATACCAGCGGAATCGCACGTGAAACCAGCGGGTTATGGGGGTTGGGGCTTCGGCAGTGTCTCTGCAGGAAAACTGACCCTAGCCATAGTCTGTGAGGTGCAGCGTCGCAGATTTTGATGCAGGTAATGCAAAATTGAGTTTAGCGACCAGTGGAGCTGGTTTTGATGCAGCTAAATCGTGTAGCTCAAGGCTAAAAAATTTGTAAGGAAAAATGCCCAGCAGTAGACTCGGACAGAGCTACTTGTCGCCAAGTGTAGCCGAGGCATCTGTCGGTACGTTTTAATGCCGCATATCCCACCGTGGTTCCTCGAGGGGCATGGCCGGCTCACCAGGAGCACCGCTGGCAGCGTGGGGGAAATGGGCTTCTGGTTAATGGATTTGGATTATTAAGGTTAAAAGGGTTTGATATCCTTAGAAACAACTCATTCAGTGTTCCCCAGCAAAACCAGAAATAGAGTGCGAGTATAACATTACAACCCACAGCACCATTCCCTAGTTCGCATGGTTTTAGTAGTAAGGTTGATCCATACGTTGTATTACCTGTGTAGGTTTAGAACGGTTCTCTGCTTACTCTCTGGCTGAACATCTCCCGTGGTGTCTGTCTGTCTCTCTCTCTCAGTATTCTGATAAGCAAATGTATATAAATATACCATTTGCTTGTTTCAAAGAATAGGGTGTGTTTTCTGCTCTACTGATGTGGAGATTCTCTGAAATACAAGCCAGTGACTTACAGTTGCAAAGCCTGCTTTTTTTTTCTGATTGGAAGGAAATACAAAACAACCCAGTCTGAACTCCAGTTAAAAATCAGCTGCCACTTAAGATGATGTAGAAGTGTGAAGCTGAGTTTTGAAAGCACCAAGGGCTTCAGGCAGTTCCCACGGGTGTTACTGTGAGCCCAGGCTGATAAGTTGAGTGGGGGCTGTATTCACTAGTGTTCCTGTGGCTTCTCTCTAGGGATTGCTGAAACTCTGAAGAGGAAGAGTATGAAAAGCTAATCGGAGTTCTGACGGAAATGGTTTTCCCCTGAAATTGTACTGGCATTGATATGCAGAGAACATCCAGATTTAGACAACTCTGCAAACTCACAGATAAACCTGTTTTGTAACATGTTTCTTACGTATTCTAAGGTGCTAAACATATAACTTGGCCTTGAATATGCATCATGTAAGATACATGTGTTGTTCAGCATACAGAGTCATACACGAGTCACTTCAGATTCCAAGAGTGGGATAGTTGTTATTCATGTCAGCATGTACAGCAAGGATCAAAGGTACGTAAATCCATCTATTGTATAATACCATATATGGAGTGCTTTGAACATGTCATGTGGTTAATTGCAAGGATTAAGACATAAAGGAAATATTTTTTTAAGTTTTCCCCTTAAGAGAAAATTTCGAACAGTCTGAGGTATCAGATCCTGCAGGTGTAACTGTTCTTTAAAGTGACTGCGAAAGTAACATTGTTTGTCATTAGGTTTCTGTGTGACTTCTGAACAAAGCCGGTAATCTTGTTGAAATAGAATTATTTTTTTTCTGCTTGTGTAATCTGTAAGATTGATCTGAATAAGAAAATCAAATTATTTTTTCTTCTGTCACATTCACTAGTGCTAAAACTAAATGGACTCGATAGATATGTGTGACTTAATTGCTTTCTGGTTTGCCGATATCAGCGATAAACTTGAAAGATTTTGTAACTAGTAAATCTTATCTTCTTATGCATCACATAATTCGATTGAAAAGAGGAAGACTGGTATTTTATATCACCTAAATATTCGTCATGGTTGAATGAATGAAATGAACCAAACTGAAGTGAAAAGAACCTTCCTTTTGTGGAATTATGTCAGTTTGTATAGTCATGCTAAAACTTTGAACAGAGGAAGATTGATATGTCAGTTGATTTTTTTAATTCATCTGATTTTAACATACTGTGTTAGGTTTGACCATAGTATGCTTTGTCATGATTTTGAATTTTAAAAGATGTTTGTTTGCAGATAAAAGAATTTAAGTTATATTTTAAAATAATTTTAGATTAAAAAATCAATTTATTTGTATTAAACCTGAGGAGAAAATTATTTGGAAATAGTTATACCCTTGCCTAGCTGTCTATAGATTCACACTTGTTCCTTAGTACTTTGCCTGTTATTCAAAATCAGATGCTGTGACTATTAATGCCATGAGGATAATAAATAGATCTTGCGTATTTTAAAAAAAGGGAACATAAACTTCATAACTTCGTTATAATTAATAATTTTATAATTGTTTTTCTTTCTAACCTCCCTCTTGATCTACTCTTTCTGGAAACATTTTTAATAACAGTGATGAGTTCTTGTACTATTTCAAATAAAACCAAGCAATGTTTATTTTCATTCTATTTAATAAATTAGAGTGAGAGGCATAGAATTTTCAGATGCTATCTTCATGCAAAATTAATACAAATAATTATACAGTGACTATACTTATTTGAAATGATAAGAGCCCTTTCTGTGTGAAAAAAGGAAAAGTGCTATTGTCATAAAATTGCCTGTCTAATCTGAGGATCCTTGCCCCTCCCTCGCCAGTAGTAACTGTTTCAGTGCTACTGCCTCCCTCCAAACATTGGAAGAGTTTAAAATAACTGTACATAAACCTCGGTTTTCTTGCAAGTAATTTACTAACATAATTTGCTGAATATGGTTGTTTTTAATGTATTTGCAGGCACAGAAGCAAAATGTTTATTTTACAGTCAGTAGGTTATATTTCTTAATCACTATGGCAACACTGATGGATGGACCAATGCGTTTTTATCAACTTGGTAAGTTGCCTGTACCTTTGTATTGTAACAGGAGTAGTACTGCTAATTTTTCACTAACACTTCTCTTGAGTTAATGAAGTAAGATACCATCATCTTATTATAGAGCTCTCCTTGGAGTAATTCACAGAATCAAGAATCTAGTCTATTATATTTTACATACTCCATTCTATACATAAACCATTATTTTCCCATGAGAAGGAAATGCTTTGAAACAGCATGCTGCATTCTGTCTCTCTAAATGTCTGGTGAACTCTTAGTTGGATGTGTTGTTTTTCATTGCTTATTTTAACTTTTTTCAGCAGTTCTTAGTTTTTGGATTACCAGGCACAACACACATAGTTTGTTGGCTGAACTGTAGTTTTAGTGAGAAACTGTTTTGATAGGATCATTCAATTCAGTAGAAAGAATAAGATGGCAAAGAAGATTCCCCATTCAGTTTACAGACCATCTTTATTTTTCCAGTCTTTATTTTCCCAGTTATTTGGTCTTAAGATTTTGTTGTTGTTGTTGTCTGTGTCTCTTTTGTAAGAGCGTAACCTACAAAATTTTGCAGCTCTCCAGCTATTGTTGCTAAACATGTTTGTTGAAACAAAGTTCAAAGGAAGGCAGTTTGGAACTCCATGTAAACAGAATTTGATTTTGGTAGGGGAGAGGCATTTAAAAGTCGCAGGTATGTACAGAATAGAAAAACATTTATGTCAACAATACATCAGCAAGACAGCTGAAACATGTGAGATGGCTGGCATAAGAGAATGGCAAAAGACTGTTTGCATCTCCTAATCTAAACAGCTTGCTCCAAGTGTGTCATTACTAGAGTTTGTGCACTGACACTATCTGTTTCTGTCATGGGAATAGCTTTAATGTGCCTTTTGGGAGAAAGTTGAATACCTTCCACAAATTATTACAAATCTGAGCTTGTATTCAGGTAAAGAATAGCAAAGTATTTTGTTATTCATACTCACTGGTTGTTTTTTCCTGTTAGGTGAGCTGTTACTATAGGGCAGGAAATCAATTGTTCTACTTTTAACTGCATTTTTCTAAGGAGAAGTTTATTTTTCAGTAATAATGTAGAATAATGAGTGCAAAAGGAAGATGTACGAGAGGATGTCTGTAGTTTGATAAAATAAAGCTTGAGAGCGATGAGTTTTCTGTCTTGTGGAAATATAAATTTGCTGCGTGTGTGACTCGAGTTGCTTAATGTCTCTGAGTCCAATTTCAGAAGGGATGCTGGGAGCATATTTTAATTTTTGTGAGACAGATGTTCAAAGAGCCAGATTTGTAAGAGATGCTTGGCTAAATACCCATTCCAAATGATTTCAACAAACTTAGGTGTCCAAGTGTATTTGTGTGTGCTTCTGTCTGTGACCACTGCTAACTAAAGGGCAAGTTTTAAGGTACTTTTCTGCAACCATAAAGATTATGTGCAGATATCTCTTTAATTGAGTAGGAAATTTCTCCTTTCTTTTTCCAGTACTCCCTGCAAAAGTAGTCAAGGATTATAAAATAACTGCATTAATCCCATTAGGAAATTCTCACAGTGTGTCTGGAACTGGACGGTTCCCACTGACTCACTGCTGTTCTGAATCCTTTCTACTTTAGCGGGAATATGTATTCTGGTACTGTGTTTCACATAGGAGTTGGACTTGATGACCTCCAGAGGTCCCTTCAAACCTCAGCCATTCTGTGATAGTCCTGTCCTATACATTATTTGTAGATCTCTGTAAAGATTGTCTTAATTTTTTGAGGTATGTCCTAGATTTCTCTTTTCACTGTCATTCTTACCATGGCACATCTTGTTGACACATCAAGTAGTTCTGTTGTATTGTTTGCCAAAGTGTGGCACCTGAGAACCTCAGTTGTGGGCCAGAGTGCTACTGCATTAGTTGCTGTGCAAATGTAAAGTCAAAGATATTCCTCATACTACAGAAGTTACAATTCTAAGTGAGATGAGAATAAAAGGACATGTTAAGGCAGTATTAATCATCATAGTTCAACAGAGGTAGCAGGCCAGTGGTGTTTTGGGTATTGTCATATTTTTGCGTAGAGGATTTAGGTGTAGAGACAAAAGAGGGTTCATGGAGAAAAGTTTTAGGGAAAAAATTAAGTAATTTTGCAGATACTTCCATAAAGTTTGTCTAAAGCATGCATGTTTGAATTTAACTAGTAACTTCTTTGGCCAACCGAGTATGGGAATTAGCATCTCATCAGTAGGAGGATAGGCCACAAAATGCCTTTAAAATGAGGGCAGGAAGTTTATGTTTGCACTTGGAAAGCAGAAGGGAGCTAAAAGATCTTGAGAAAAAAGTTAGAAAGGTTAGAACAATAATTTCAAGAGTGTCTTGAAGCACCATGTTGAAAAGATAGGAATGATTCAAGACTGGGTTTGTCAGGGAAAAGAATTCTGCGTACAGTGAGAATCTGGATGAACAAACAGTCTTACAGAGGTTATACAAGAAGACGTGGGAACCTCTAGGACACCAGGATCTGCAAGAAGGCTCGGTTCAGATTACTCAGACAGTAGGCCTGACTGGCAGGCTGAATGTAGCCTTAAGCGTGCCCTGTGACAGGAGAAGTATTGCAGCATCTGTTGGTGGTTTTTTGCTTTTCTTTTGCAGGCAGAGAATGCAGTAGAGTTAAATACCCACAGGGGAATGTTACAGAAACAGGGCACAAAATAGAGAGGGAGTTACAAAATAGACCCTGAAATAGAGAGTTATAGGAGTTAACTGGCTGAAGACAGTGAGTAGTATACCAAAGTTGTTAAAACTACAGCCTTGAGGACTCTGCACGTTTAGCAAAGAAGGACATCTATGAAGGTTCTTCAAGCAATAATAGTATCTTTTCCCAGACCAGTTTCAAGATCCTTGTCGTGACTTAAAATGATGTTTAATAGACAGTGACCTGCCTGAAATATAGTCAGAGTCCTCTAAGACAATGTTTGGTAACAACATCTTCAGTACATTTATTCACACTGAGTTTTGAACCTCATCTGGCAGGGATCGGTGTAAGCCTGAACCACAGTGTAGTTATCAGAACTGGCTCCTAGGAGCCTTGAATTAGTAACAGAGGTTGGAAGGGGACATTCCATACTCTGAGGAAGGAGGGAAGGGTAATGCAGTAGGAAGAAGATGTGAAAGAAATAAATAGTTCCACTGAGCATGCCAAGTATTGTCTCTAATGGTTGCAAATTAATATTACCAGTAGTAAGCTAATAATCAGATATTATAGATACACAAATGTGTTAATATATAGTTTCATTTTCCAGTGTACATCAGCATTCTGTCTACAGCTTGTAGCAGCTTGCCTGGTAAGAGTTTTTATTGTCTTTCAAATGCTTTTCCTAACACAGTTCAAAAAACTTTCATATTCTTACCAAGCATCATTTTAAAACATCATGCTTCTTGAGTAAAGAAATTAATAGAAGTATAATACAGAAGGACAGTTCTTTGCATTGTTGTTTCTATTGTGCTGAATTCTGTTCTATGCTTGCTTTATTTTGGGGCAAATATTGGGCTGCTTTAGTTGGGTTTATTTATTAGAATTCTTGCAGTCTCACATTTGTTTGCCATTTATATTGGTGGGTTGTTTGTTGTGTTTTTTTCCCTTTCTAGAAAGATTTCTGGAAGGGCCACGCCACAACCTACAAATGAAATCTTGTAATTTTCAGCACATTTTGTCCTGGCAGGCAAAAAGTGATCCAACTATGCCAACATACTATCGTGTGCTGTACACTGACCACAGGCAAGTCTTACAAGACACAAATTTTACTTTCCATGTTTATTGACTTGAAAAACCCAGCCTTAGTATTTTTTGTTTGTGTTTCTGCTCAGAAACACTCCCCCACCTGTGCTTTCTTGTATCAGAGAATCCAGATAGATTATTTTGATCTTGTTTTAACTTTACAGGAAATGGAAGGTTGCTAAACAATGTTCAAATATTACACAACTCTCCTGTAATCTGACAGATGATTTTGAAGAGGATTCCACTGAGTATTCTGTATTTGTTCAGAGTTTCATAGGAACTGAAGTATTCAATTCTTCTGTACTTCGTTTTATGCCATCTAGTGACAGTAAGTTCTTGGTCTGCATTTGCTCATTTTAGTAGTTTAGCTGATGTATAAATTATATTCTGCTATCTTTTTACAGTAAGACACTCCAAACTAACAAGAATATGAATTTGTATATAGTCTATCACATACCAGTTACAAGATATAAAATATATAGATAGCTTTCTAAAATTAGTGGCTACAGTAGTTCTCATAAATGGACGAGGCTCTCGTTTTGAAATAAAATATGTATCTAGAAATACAGAGGAATTAGCATTGTGTTAAGCATTGGCAAGCACAAAGTAAAAATCTCTTAAATACATAAGATACATAACTCAAAAAAAAAAAAAAAATCCCCACATACTGACTACTTGATAACATAAAAACAAAGTTAAGAGTTAAAGAAAGACCATGTCTGCACTAGGTGTAGGGGAAGAAATTTACTTGTTTGTTCATCAACCTGCTCTTCGTCCCTTCCTTGCTGGAAGAAGATGCTTATTAGCTGTAACATCTTCTACTGTCAGAGGTGGCTTTACCCTTAGTTGTGCTTAGTGTTCAGTTTTGAAGTAACAGAGACAGAGATGAAGGAGCAACTGGAGGACTACGGAGGAGAAATAGGTCATGTCAACCTCTGAATTCAGCACAAAGGTAGCCACTGCTGTGTCCGCTTATAGTCTCAGGAATGATGAAAAACAGGAGAGGATGGGAAGAATAACCACAAGGATAATTGAAGGATTTGAGAACATCCTCCTGAGGTGGAAGCCTTCAATCTTTCAGGAATTAGTTTAACACAGATAAAGATCAGAAGGTGCATTGACCACTAGTTAATATGATGGCAGGTTTCTTCAGTCTTATAAACAAAGCATAACAGTGTGCCCTGAATGAAAGCTGAAGCTAGATAAGTTTTAGCTAGAGACATATTTTGAACTGTCTACTGGAACAAACTGTCAGGTGCTCTGACTGATTGTCCATCACTGTCAACTTGTAAATTGAAATTGTATGTTTTGCTAGTAGTTCTCTAGTTCGAACCATAAGCAATTGAGTGTAGTCGTGTTTTCCAATGCACAGGACTTGGATGAACCTGTAGTCTTTTCTTGTTTTACAGTGCCTGAATAGGAAAAAATCAATATTCTATTTCCCTACTGGGTGTAGTTGATAGCTACCGTTGAATACCTACGGTGGAATCTCACCTCTGTTGACAGATTTGAGCAAAGAGAGAAAGGCTTCACAACAAAGAGCCAAGAAAACAACCACATTTGCCTGTAACCAGATTTAAGCTAATGTTTATTTGTAAGTTTAAAAAAAGATGAGAAATGAGCAAGTGTGCAACCATTTGACTAGGACATGCTTTTCTGTTTGAGAGTAGATGAAAGCTTACATTTGTTTTAAGTATTAAACTTTTTTTTTTTTAGCTTTCTACCCTATTTCAGGAACAGAAGTAGTTAGCAAATATATATTGCTTTTCTGAATTTTACAGAGGTTTGTAAACCAGTCTCAAAATGTACATGCTCCTGGAAAAGACAAAAGTGAATGCAAACTTTTCATGTCTTTTCCCCTGCCAATGTACCACACAGAAATGGAGGATTATGGAGATAGATTGTTCTCATGCCATTTTCCAACATTCCTACTTTTTTTCCTGTGTTTGAGGAAAGAAGGTCTTAGGTTTGATTCACTACAGAAGTTCCTCTGATATTGATGGATGTGTATGTAGTTTTGGAGAGAGGAGACAATTAGCATGCATGGCTCTTCAAACATATATTTATTTTCTGAGGACCTGAACTTGAGAGATTACTTTGAATTCAATGGAAGTCTCACAGAAGCATAACTATGTTTCACTAAGTCCTCTGTCCTACTGTCAGTAGAGTTTTTAGTCTTTGGAGCTCAGCTGTCAAGTTAAGACCTATAGCTTTCCTTGCAACCAGCATGAATATGTACAGGGCTACACACCAATTAATTTCTACAAAGATTCCTTCCAGAAAGTGACTAGAAGATGATGATGAACAAGAAAGTAATCAGCTTTTTCTATACATTAACCTCAGCTTTCCTCTCTAATAGATTAAAAGCTCACATCTCTGCGGAGCTGATGCAAAGCTCTGTCACCTTTCTGCTTCTTCCCTCCCCACCACTGCTTTGTGTTCTTAAAATCTAGTCATGTGGGAAAAGATCGTTTGACTGTGAAATTTAAATGTTCTTGTGGATTTACAACAGCAAGATACTCTGGAATCTGATTAGTCAGCTATATATCCATCACCAAAATAGAACTGGTACTGAATACATAATGTATATTTTTTCATCATTTTGTTTTCCTCTTTCTTTTTTTCCATAGCATTCCTGGGACCACCAGAAGTTAATATCAGTTCCTGTCTAAACTGCATAAATGTCACCATAAAGCTGCCAACCTCTCACTTCACAAAAAATGGAAAGTTAATGTCTTTAACTGATATATATAAAGAGCTTGATTATGGTATAACACTGAAAACACCTGATGGAGAGCATAAGGTAAGGACTTTTTTGTTTGTATTTCTCCCCTAAAGCTCAAATAAGAAAACGTAAAATAGCTCCGATGGTTAGTAGAATCACAGAAGCAAATATGTGAATAGAAGATACTTAAAAGAAAACAAAGAGAATGACCAATATAATTGTAGCTTTCTTTTACTGCAGACTAGCAGGCCTGGAGAAGGAATACTAGTTGTCCTATATCCTTACTTGAAATAAAGCACAGGGCACTGGCTCAAGTGATTATTCTCTGGGTAGAAAAGGAAAAGGCATTTTAACAGTAACTACTAGTGGGGGTATGCATAGCTGATAGGAACGTATGTTGAGAAAGCAGTTCAGTAGTTTTCTGTCAAACTGGGAAAATGTATCCAGTTAGTTTCTGAAACAGCCTATTCTGGATCTGGTACCATTTAATTTGGTGGGGTTTTTGGTATGCTGAAATGGAAAGGTAGATAGGCATGATTAGAACTTAAAATGATCCTCACAAAATGGAGAAACAATCTTAAAATAATAGGACATCATTCAGTAAGCACCAATGCAAGGCATAATAATAATAATTGTCCTGTGTATAAGTAACATCTACACAGCAGCAGTTTTGCCAGAAAGAACAAGAGCATTCTATAATATTACAAGCTAAACATGACTTGCCTGTTGCTGAGAGATAAAAAAAAATTGTATTTTTTCATACATAGTATTTATAAAGCCCACCTACCCTGTAGTAGTATGGGATTCAGAAAAAACATGGACCCGTTGAGCAGAATCCAGAAAGGAACAGTAAGAACTGGGGGGGATCCTAACACATGATCCTTTGAGGAAATGCTGGAATAATAGGGGACTGCTAGTGTAAGCAAGCAAAGCCCAGTTAGAGACCAGAGTCTCTGAGTATGTAAACATTTACTATAGAAAAGGAGGAAATAAACCATTCACTGTGACTGTGACCAAAACCAGTGAAATTGGCAGTTGTGCAGACTTTAGTTTAAACATCAAGAGTCACATTAATACCTGGGCTGGCAAAGCACTGGATTAACTTGTCTAACTAGCAGATGGACTGCCTGTACTGGAAGCTTTGAACAGCAGGTTAGACAGGTATCTGTTGGGAATTTAATCTCTCTAATTTATGCTGCCATGGAAGAAGGACCACAGCTTGCTTGCCCTGGATATTCTTCCCTGAATTCTGAATCAAAATACCACTTGCAGTTTCATATCTGTAGAATCTATGTGAGGCTACTTCAAGGGGATATATAGTGACCAACAGTTGGAGACGGATCATCTTTGATAATAATGATATTTCACAAACAGGTGTAAGGTAGGCATCTTGACATCAGCTAGAACTAGAGATGAAACAGTTGCCTCGGTAAATCACTGAGTTACTGTGTCAGTTTTTGCAGTTTCACATGCTACTGTGTATTATATACTGAATGTATTATATACTGAAATAGCCATAATATTTTATCAGTGGCTGGGGATCTCTTTTTAGGTAAATAGCTAACTTTTAAAACATTGTCTTTCATGGCAGAGGCCACTTGAGAAAACCAATGAAGAAATTTTTAGTACTGTCATTGAAGAACTGTATCCAAATAGAAATTACTGTGTGTCTGTTATGATCACTGCATCTCTGAACAAACATTGCATCCCATCAGCTTGGAAATGTATAACTGCAGACGCTGTAGCTCAACAAGGTAACTATGCTGTGGTGCAAGAATGGATTGTCTGACTTGATTATGTGCAAGTATTTGCTTTTTAGCAAGATTTACAAGTCAATCTTAAAAATAATAAAAGAGGAAGTACCTTCCAAGTGATAAATGTTGTGGATTTATAAGTGAAATATAAAACTCCATCTGCTTTGGGGCCACAAATCTATTATTAATCTTGTGAACCGTACAAATCTCCACTAACTGCATAAATAGTTACCAAAAATGGCTTGCTTTTTTTTTTTTTTAAATTCCTGAATCTAATTTGAGGTTTGGTCTTGTTTTGACTTTGGACCAGATGACCTGCAGAGGTCCTTTCTAACCAAAATTATTCTGTGATTCTAAATAGCTGTTCTGAATGTAAAATACAGAATGTGGTCATTGGAAACTTCATTCATGTATTTTTATTTGTTTGGTTTTTTTCGCTTGCAGATTATCATATAGTTACAATTGCAGGTGCTGTATGTTTTTCACTGATGTTAGCTGGTGCCCTGAAGTGTATGCATGCAGGAGGTTATATTCTTCAAAAAAAATCACTTCCACATACCTTGGTATGTAATAATTCCCGTATTTAACCTTTCTGTCTGGGAGGAGGAAGTTTACCATCTGAAATTTCTAATCCTGCACACTAGGTGCAAGTTACGTACCTACATGTTTTAATTTGTTGTTTGCCTATGTTAAAGTTAGTCTATAGGCTGCTAAATCTTGTCTGTTCTACAGAACAGATATTTATTCTTTTTCAAAACCATTTCTTGCTACTTCTGTGTCAAGTTACTAACGGAGATAGAGATGTGATCATCTCACCCTACTTCGTGCTTGTCAGGCTGCACCTAGAGCATTGTGTCCAGTTCTGGTTCCCACAGTGCCAGAAATATGCTAACGGCCTGGAGAGAGTCCAGAGGATGGTCATGAAAGTGAATAAAGGGCTGGAGAACCTGCCCTGTGAAGAAAGATTGAAGGAGTTAGGTCTTTTCTCCCTGAAGAGAAGGGAAGGCCCAGGGGGTACCTCATGACTGTATTTCAGTACTTAAAGAGCAGCTGCACACAGGACAGGGTCTCAAGACAAGGGACAATGGGTACAAGTTGTACTATGAAAGCTTTCATCTCGATTTAAGAAGTTTTTTAAAGTGAGAAAAGTCAGTCACTAGAACAACCTCCCCAAGGATGATGGAGTCCCCATCACTGGAGTTTTTCAGTATGTGATTGGATAGGGTGCTAGAGAATCTTATCTAGGCTCCCTCTCCCCTGAAAGGTTGGACCAGATGATCTTTTGAGCTCACTTCCAGCCTCGGCTGCTCTATGAAGTTAGAGGGTGCAAGCAGTAGCGAGGGGAAATCCCCCACAAAGTAACTTTAAATAACTATGTTACACAGAAGCAGGCTAGGTCCTACAGCAGAGCACCCAGCATAGGACAACTAACCTTTGAAAATTACCTTATGTTGTAAATCCTTCCTGCAGCAGACAAATTTATTCTACTAACTGAGCCAGAGCAATAACTCCAGAACAAAAAACCTGCCCCAGTTCTTAAGTGCACGGGAGAAGACCTGTTCTCCACCAAGCCTCATGAGCTGGGAGATGGGGAGGGGAAGCATATTGAGGTCAGCACAGTCGAAGAGGAGGTGGTCAGAGACCTGCTTGGATGCACAGAAGTCTGTGGGACTGGATGGGTTACACCCAAGGGTGCTGAAGGAGTTGGCAGATGTGCTCACCAAGGCGCTGTCCATGATTTACCTGAAATCATGGCTAACTGGGGAGGTCCCATTGCACTGGAGGGTGGCAAATGTGACACCCATCTACAAGAGAGGCAGAAAGGATGATTCAGGAAACTATAGACCTGTCAGTCTGACCTCAGTACCAGGGAAGGTCATGGAGCAGGCCATCTCGAGTGCCATTAAAAGTCATATAATGGACAACCAGGGATCAGGCCCAGTCAGCATGGGTGTATGAAAGGCAGGTCCTGCCTGACAAACCTGATCTCCTTCTACGACAGGGCGACCTGCTTCTTGGATGAGGGGAAGGCTGTGCATGTTGTTTACCTTGACTTTAGCAAGGCCTTTGACACCATTTCCCACAGAATTCTCCTGGCAAAACTGATTGCTTGCAGCTTGGATGGGCACACGGTTCGCTGGGTAAAAAACTGTCTGGATGGCCAGGCCCAAAGAGTTGTGGTGAATGGAGTTAAATCCAGTTGGCAGCTGGTCACGAGTGGTGTCCCCCAGGGCTCGGTTTTGGGGTCACTCCTGTTTAACATCTTTATTGATGATCTAGACGAGGGGATCGAGTGCACCCTCAGTCAGTTTGCAGATGACACCAAGCTGGGTGGGAGTGTTGATGTGCTCGAGGGTAGGGAGGCTCTGCAGAGAGACCTGGACAGGCTGGAGCCATGGGCTGAGGCCAACTGCAGGAGTTTCCATAAGGCCAAATGCCGGGGGCTGCCCTTGGGCCACAACAACCCCCAGCAGCGCTACAGGCTTGGGGAGGAGTGGCTGGAGAGCTGCCAGTCAGAGAGGGACCTGGGGGTGTTGATTGACAGCCGAAACAGGAGCCAGCAATGTGCCCAGGTGGCCAAGAAGGCCAATGGCATCCTGGCTTGTGTCAGCAATAGCGTGGCCAGCAGGGACAGGGAAGGGATCTTGCCCCTGTACTCGGCACTGGTGAGGCCGCACCTCGATTCCTGTGTTCAGTTTTGTGCCCCTCACTACAAAAACGACATTGAATGACTCGAGCGTGTCCAGAGAAGGGCAACGGAGCTGGTGCAGGGTCTGGAGCACATGTCGTACAGGGAGTGGCTGAGGGAACTGGGGGTGTTTAGCCTGGAGAAGAGGAGGCTGAGGGGAGACCTCATCGCCCTCTACAGCTACCTGAAAGGAGGGTGCAGAGAGCTGGGGATGAGCCTCTTTAACCAAGTAATAAGCAATAGGAAAAGAGGTAACAGCCTCAAATTGCACCAGGGAAGGTTTAGACTAGATATTAGGAAGCATTTCTTTACAGAAGAGATTGTTAATAGGTGTTGGAATGGGCTGCCCAGGGAGGTGGTGGAGTCCCCATCCCTGGAGGTGTTTAAGAGTAGGGTCAACTTAGCACTTAGGGATATGGTGTAGTTGGGAATGGTCAGTGTTAGTTTAATGGTTGGACTGGATGATCTTTAAGGTCTTTTCCAACCTAGACAATTCTGTGATTCTGTGGATGCTCTGAAAACATTCAAGAGTAATGTATATCCTTATCAAGCAGTTTCTGGCACATTTTACCTCCCTTATTTCACCCTGCAGCATCATACTTTTCTCTAATAACAAAACCAATTATTACCCCTATAATATTTTTTCCATTTATTATAGAAAAAATCAGAGCTTTCCCTAAAGATTTGAGGATAGTTTAGCCACGTCCCTGGTTACTGGAGTTAAAAGGCATTTTGAGAGATTCTACAACTAAAAGCAAGTATTTTAAGCTTGCCTTCAAAGTCTTTATCACGTTTCCACAGGAAGGCAAGCTGCAAAGACAAAAGGCAGCTTTAAGACCCAGTTGGGTATGTGCATATGTCATGGTTTAACCCCAGCTGGCAACTAAGCACCATGCATCCACTTGCTTGCTTACTCCCCACAGTGGGATGGGAAAGAGAACTAGAAGGGTAAAAGTAAGAAAACTCATGTGTTGTGATAAAGACAGTTTAGTAAGTAAAGCAAAATCTGTGTGTGTGTGTGTGTGTGTGTGTGTGTGTGTGTGCTCAAAGCAAAACAAGGTATTCATTCACCCCTTCTCATCAGCAGGCAGGTGTTCAGCCATCTCCAGGAAAGCAGGGCTCTGTCACGTGTAACAGTGACTTGGGAAGACAAACACCATCACTGTGAATGTTCCCCTGTTCCTTCTTCCCCCCAGCTTTACATGCTGAGCATGACACCATACGGTATGGGATATCCCTTTGGTCAGTTGGGGTCAGCTGTCCCGACTGTGTCCCCTGACAACTTCTTGTGCACCCCCAGCCTCCTCGCTGGTGGGGTGGGGTGAGAAGCAGAAAAGCCCTCGACTGTGTAAGCACTGCTCAGCAACAGCTAAAACACCCCTGTGCTATCAACACTGTTTTCAGCACAAATCCATAACATAGCCCATACCAGCTACTATGAAGAAAATGAACTCTTATCCCAGCCAAAACCAGCAGAACATATTGTTCTGTAGTGATGCACAGAAATGGCCTAGAGTTGGGAGGTTTGGTCTCCTTATCCCCAAAAATCACATCTGGAGAATAAAAGAGTTACTGTTAGCGCTCTAAGACCTTTTTTTTTTTTTTTCCTGAAGCTACACTTCATAGTTATTGTCCACAAAAGGAGTCGATAGCATGTGAGAAGTGCTAGAAGTAAAAGTTCAGCAGCCTGGTAAGAGTGAGATCTGGATGGTTGTTGGAAATGATCTCACCCACAAGAATTAAGAACTTAATTCACCTCAACAAGGAGACAAAGGACAGACCATCAAAGCCCTTTGTAGACATGTGACACTGTTTTAAGGAAGCAATCTTTAAAGCATGTTGTTTCTCAGGAAAACTGAGTCTGCTTTGTAACATCAACAGTAGCTTCTCAGTCAAAAAAAAAGTCCTCTTTACTGAACTCAGATATACCTTTTATGTCCCCAACCTTCCAGTTCCACAGGTATCTCATACAATAGATGGGGACGCAGTTATGTGCAGATATGTCCCTGCCAGAAAAATTTCCTAGTTGTTAGTTCCAGAATGTTATTAGCAAGATTCAGGGTCACTTCTCTGGGTAGCCTGATGTCTGTCATCCTTCTTCAGTCTCAGTAATGATTTATTACTGTATTCTGTTATACACAGGCATTAGTGAAAAGGATGCCTGGTAGTAGAACACTTAGTAGGAAAAAAAGGATGTTCATATGCAAGTTATCTCTGCCAAAATCTAGAGCTAGCGTAGTATCTTGGAAAGTAACTCCCGGACCAGGCTGTTAAAATCTACCCAAATATTGGAGTTAGATTAAAACGAAAAGGTAAGAAAAAGAAAAGAAACAATATAGGTCTGGAAGAAAACTTACTTGGGGTGGGGTTAGTGGGACGGAACATCATGTACACAAGGCAAACAGTACCTGCATTACCTTCCAAATGCTAAGGTATTCTCAGGAGTCACACATAGTGATTGGCAAAAAAGTCCATGATTAAGGAAGAAAGAATGGTAATATATCACTCAAATTGTTCCACTGTTTTAAATAAAATAATCTTTCTTTGACTACTTCTGTGATCAAGTGTCATGTTTTAGAACTTGAAGAAGCCAGTCCTGAGCCAGCTAATTTTTTATTTTAGTAGAAGAGGCTGAACTGCCACTAAATTTCAAGGAGAAAGAAGATTCTTGGGACTTGTTTATATCCACCTTTGCTTGCTTTTTTTTTAATAGTTTCTGGCTTCTTTTACATTATGGCATTTTTCAGCATAAATATTTTCCATTTTCTACAAACATATCCAGAGCAGATTGGTATCAACTTTTTCTAAGACTTTTCCTCATGGTTCTGTTTATTGCTATGTCATTACCTTCATATCCCTAAGATTGCTGAACATGACTTAGCCAGGCAGTGTCTAAGGTTAATTTTTTTATTGTCAACATTTTTCCCTGATGCTTCCAATATTCAGTAGTCCTCAGAAGTGCAGACTAAAACTGGGAAAATGGGACTTAGGATGTTACGGAGTTCATTGCTTCAAATGGTATGTTTCTAAAGGACATTAAAACTGATCATCCATGTAGGGCTTCTCTTTTGTATGGTAACTGCAATAGCTAATAGAGAGTTGCAAGACTAACTTCAGGTTTAAGGTGTATTTCTAAAATAAGCTTTTAGTCTTAGAAATATATCTCAGACGTTAGAATTAAAACATTTCATACCTGATGCTGCTTGGCACTAGTGTCATTTCTTTGAGGCTATCCAATGCTGTGTGCCTTGATTTGTAGTGAAGGCTGTCATGTTTACAGGAGTGGGGAAGAGGGACCAATCCTAGATGCCCTGAACTCCGCAGAAAAAGCCAAAAGTGTGACACAGAATGAATCATTTGTCTGACCCCCAACCTCATGATTGGGGGTATTTTTTTCACATATGTGTGTGTGAAAATTTGTCTGATATTTTTAATTCACTTTGCTCTTTTAGGTATTCATCAGGACATTAGCCTATTCACCTTGCACATTTGAATCTGAAAAAATAGCCTCTGTAGAGGTCATTTACAGAGAGGTTAAAAAAAAGGCAAATGAATCCTGTGGTGGTGTCAGTGATGAAGATGACAGCGATGACAGTGACAGCGATGCCATAAGTAATCATGACTATACAAGGCGTGGTGTCATAAGTAGAGCACCTCATTCCTCTGACACGCCTAATGTATTTGTGCAGTACTCTGCAAATAGGATGCATGATGACAGCAGCAGCCAGGCAAGTGAAAATCCAGACACTGAGCAAGAAGATTTTGAAGATCATGAGTTGGACATTGAAGAAGACAGACACGGAAGCAGTGAGTTACTTAATACTTTCTCTGAGGTAAATTGTAACTATTCTTCTAGGCGAAGGAACAGTGCTTGCTTTATCATTAACCTAAAAACTGTGATGTTGGGAACCTCTGAAGAGAACGTGGATAGTTCTGCAGCTCTTCTTTCTTCCCAAGAAGATGCAGTTGACTGGCAATGTACTCATGCTTTTGAAGCAAAACTCCTGGATGACACAGAAAGTGTGCAGAAGCCACACTGTCCTAACAGCTCTCATGAATGGCAAAATTCCTCTCAGTCTTCTGATGAACACGACTCGTCAGATTCAGATACAGACCAAAAAACTGAATACATAAGAAGATGAATAAGTGAGAACCACTGTTATTTTGTAACATGAATCGATATTGTCCAACTTCTGTTTCTGGACTCAACATACAAATCTTGTCTTTTTCTTTCTTTAACATTCAGAGAGTATATGTCTGAACACTGAAAATACTCAATGCTCATTTTTAACAAATATTTCTCTGATCTCTCCAGGTTGTTCCAGGTATAGTTCAGGTTGGATTATCCACAGAGAAGCAAAAATGACTGTTCAGATGCAGTGGAAAGAGTAGTTTCATTTTTGCAGTTTGATAGTGAAGTATACCTTTTAATTGTTACAAGTGAGAAGGTAGTTTGCAGTATAGGAAGTTGTAAGTGTTGGTCTCTCAACCAGACCACTTTTTAATTTTCTTTTTTGTATTCTTTAGTTCTGTTAATGGATTACTCTGAAACCTATTTTGCTGGATGATTGCTGTATTCAAGTCAGTGAACTGGTATCTACATTTGTGCAGAGAAAGCTGATCAAGTGAAATGATGGGGACAGAGATAAGAAGGCTCACCTTACAGGAGAGTTCCTCTTAATGTGAATTAAGGCATTCAATACACCTTTTTATAATTTTTTAGTATCATTGTGTGCAATTATTTAATATTGCGCTTCTAAAAAATCTTTTATGTCATTTAAAAGTGTACAGTTTAACATTTGGGCTTCATAAAAAAAATTTTGCATATCCCTGTCTGAATTTTTACTGTGGCTCCTACATGCCTTTGAAAAGGTACATGAGTTAGCCTGCTAAGAGCTCACTCCTTATGGGAAGGCTTTTAGGTATCACATAGCTGAAAATACCAACTTTCTTCACTTTGTGTTGATCTCCTTAGTTACTGCTTTTCTGCCCACAAGCAGTTTCTTTCTGCCATGGGTGGCAGTCATTCTTTTGGTCAGGATAGCCAAGAGGCATTTCTAAGGTGCTGGAATGTATTCTGCTGCTGCACTACTGTGAAGAATGAAATAGGTGTAAGTACCTGACAGCTTGGATCTTGACAGGCTAATTATTTGCAGATTTGTGCATCTGTAGAATTAGCGCATGAAACTTCCACTCACGCTGACCCTGTAACATTGTTGTTTGCACAGTGGGGTGGTTGTGTTCTGTCCACAGAGATAGAAACCAGGGGAATCACTGACAGGTAAGCGAAAACCATGGGACTTGGCCCACCCCAGGGAAGGCCAAACCTGACTTGTAGTCTTGTTTAATAACAGGAGGTGACAGTGGGCCAGAAATAAATATATTAACCCCCCACAGAGAACTGGTATTTTTAGCTGGCAACAGTAATAGCTTGAGAAAGAACTCTTTTTACTCTGTGAATAATATCACTGTTCCTTCCCCAAGTTTATGCTGGTTTTGATGGGGGACGCTGAATGTTCTGGCAGAAGTAGCAGCACTGCCATCTTTGGTGCAGGCTAGATGCTGAGGTCGGAACAGAAACCTTTCCTCAGGTAACTGACTTGTGGAAACACTACTCCATAACCTATAAGGTTATAAAATAGGTATGTTTATTCAGCACTGAGGCGTGCAGGGGATCACTCCACCACAAACATGCACATCTCTGGTGGCATCTTGTCTTAGCTTTATGCTACAAAGTATCACATATTCATAATATGTCTGTACACATGCATGACCTATCCTAGCTTCATATTATAATGAGCCTGAAAGTAATTTTCATATGTTCCGCTGCATCTGTGCAGTGTGTCCAGGTAGTTATGGGCTGGGGTCGTGGAGTTGAAGTAGCTCCTCTTCCTCACTGTTGAACTTTTTACCTTTGTTCCTTGCGCAGTCTCCATAGCCTCCTGGGCTCAGGCCAGACCATAAGGTTGGTTTTGACCTGGTTTTAGGGCTGTCTTCCTAGTCCATCCGGAAGCATTCCCTCATGGCTTCTATTAATCAAGGTTTCTTTATTGTTCTGCTCTCTGGCCCATCAACCATGATCTATTATTCTATTTAAAATTAGTTATCTTTTAACTAACGGGCCTCTGGCCCCTAATCTCTAAATCTTTAATCTTTATCTCTAAACTAAGTTATATCTTCATTTCCCAAGTGCCTAATTTCTATATCCTATTTTAATTTCCTAATTCCCCGTCTCAGTAATGTTGTATTGCCTGCAGCCGGAATTTTGACACTATGGATCAGCTGATGTCTGTTTATGCGTTATTTACCCCCTTTGCGTGGACCTGCCTTCTCGCATCTTCCCAGCTGCCAGGCAGTGTGCTGAAGGTGCGCTTTAGACACGACGAGTATCCAAGCAGCCAGGCGTCATGAACACCTTTTAAAACACGGCTCCGTTGAACAGCTTTCCCAACCGCGGGGGAGGTTCGGGTGCTGGGCATATACACTCTGGAAAGGGGAACGCAGCCGCGGCGGGCGGGGGAGGCTCTGGAAAGGTTGAGGTGAGCTGATC